GAGCGTGAGCGTGCAAGCGCGCACATAATTTTTGGCACAGGAGACCAAAAAGGTTAGCCGCCACCACTGCTCTAGGGACTTTCCTCTGTTTGATTTCTCTTCTCAATGAAATCTGTTTATATATCTATAGGTCAGCTGAGTATTTTGGCTCCTTGCAATAGCCTTAGAATGATCTTTGACTTGAGTGTTCATTTTCCTTGAACTTTCTGTAGAAAGCACTGGGCAGTCCTTCCACTCGCGACTTTTGATTACCGTGTCGTCCTGCAGGTCTGGCCAATGCCACATTTGAGGAGCAGGATGCAGTTGAATTCACAGCAAATACGTCCGTCACCAGAGCTCTTCACAGCCTCCGCCTGGACTTCAGAACGCGGGACGATGATGCTGTCTTGATGCAAGCCGTGGAGGAAGTGGATTCTCTTCTGGTGGCTATTCAAAACTCTTCGCTCCTGGTTGAAATCCGGAGTGGGAATGGAGTCGAGGGAGCAAACCTTCTCAGGCCCGCACCCATCTCTGATGGCTCATGGCACACCCTCTTGTTGACCATGGAAGAGCCCTCGGCCTATTCGTCAAGGTGGCACCTCCAGTTGGATGATTCCACCAATACAACCCTCCTGGGAAATGCGGGCAACCTGGATTTCTTAAAAAGCAACACATTTATTGTCTTGGCTGAAAACTTCACGGGTTGCCTCGGTCATGTAGACATCGGGGGGCTGCTTTTGCCCCTGGCCAGCCACCCTCTTTACCCACAGCCGGAACAATTCGTTCAGGTGTCCAGCAGGCCCCTCCTTCTGGGCTGCCGGGGAGAAGACGTCTGTTCTTCCAATCCGTGTCACCACAAAGGCTCCTGCTTGGACCTCTTCAATGCCTTCAGTTGTGCCTGCCAGCCTGGGTGGGAAGGGCCGCTGTGTGAGACCAACACGGACGACTGCAAATCCAGCCCGTGTCTTCACGGCGAGTGCAAAGACCTGGTGGGAGACTTCCAGTGCGTCTGTCAGAAGGGTTTCATCGGGAAACGTTGCCACATCAACGTAGATGACTGCGTGAGGCACCAGTGCCAGAACGGAGGGATCTGTGTGGACGGCGTCTACAGCTACTCCTGCAAATGCCCGCCAGAATACTCTGGCCCCCTCTGCGAGTAAGTCTCTAGGAAGTCTGGCAAGAATGAGAATTCTGGAGATTTTTTTTTTTCTTCCTTGCTCTTTCTTGGAGTTGGGGCACAAGGTAGGAGCTTCTACCCTGTTTCCCTGAAAATAAGACCCAACTGGAAAATATGCCCTATCATGATTTTTCCAGGGTGCTCGTAAGAAAAACCCTACCCCCCCAAAAAATAAGCCCCAGTTAAGATTGTCAGCCAGATGGATGCATTTACAGCTATTTCCCTGAAAATAAGACCTAACCAGAAAATAAATCCTAATGCATCTTTTGTAGCAAAAATTAATATAAGACCTGGTCTTATTTTAGGAGAAACATGGTAGCTTTCTTCTGGAGTTCCCCAGCTAGACCTTCTCTTTAATCTTTCAGCTCCTTTCCATTAGTAGCTGTTGGCATTAGAAGACCTGACCAGGCTACGACCACCAGCCAGGGTAAAACCAATTGTCCCATGGCTCACCAAAGAGTCTTCTGCACGAAGCCATTTCCTGAAGTTCTTGAGAAGTTCCATTCCTTCTCCTCTCTCCCATTATCAGACTAAAAGTCTGCAGAAGCAACTTGGTAGCCAACTTTTTAAAGAACGCCTACAGATGTCTAGTGTCTAAATCAAGATCCTTCTCCTCTTTCTTTTCTCTTTTCTTGTTTTAAATTCCCAGGTGGCCCTTCCCTCCTGAACAATGTGGCAAGAACTTCACCTGTTTGAACGGTGGCGAATGCATGAGTGGCCCCTGGGGAGCCAACTGCAGCTGCAAGACTGGCTACACGGGCGTGAAGTACGATGACGGTTTGGACTCTATAACATTCCAGGATTAAAGGGGACTCTGTCAGGATTCTGGCCATTATCCCATTTAAATCATGAATATCGAGCCAGACTTCCAAAACTTCAAAATTTAGATTCAGGTTGATTGGGAGTTAACATGTCTGGCACTGCCTGGGTGTAGCCGACTCTGAGACACATCATTCACTGTTATCCTTGACCCTGGTTTTTCCCCCACCCCGCTGAGTGTATCCTAATTCATATTCTCCAATGGGACACCTCCATAGCCCAGAGTCATCAATCAGGCTCTCCAGTTAGAATTTTGCAAGGCAGCAGTCACCTAGTTACTATCTTTGAAAACATTCATGGAATGCACTTTCCGTTTGCAAGCTGCTCCACTGCTCCCCCCTCCCTTTCTGTTGGCAATTCTAAAAAGACCATAAATTAATTTATGAGTTGACATTCGGCTCCCCTCACTTCTTGAAGATGACCTGTACAACACAAAAGGAAAACCCCATTTAAAAACCCTGTTTTGCCTCTTTGATCTTCACCCCATTCCTCATTTCTATAAGGCCATGACTGATTCCTACCTCACTTTATTTCCAGGTGCCAGATCAACATCAGTGACTGTGACCCCAACCCCTGCAAAAACGGGGGGACGTGTCAGCACTCCACGAATCATTTCTGGTGTATCTGCAGTGCCAACTACGCTGGAGAATATTGTGATGTCAGTGTAAGCAAGATTCTCTCTTTTCTTTTTTTTTCCAGAATAATGGGTTGGTTTTCCCCCCCTACGCTTGACTCAGAGGAGGAGTTCAAACCTTTTCCAAGATTAAACCAGGAAAGTTGTAATTTGTTCCTCCTCACTCTGTTGTATATCTATATATAAAAAAGCGAAATACCACTCACGCATCATCACAAAATCTCCAGAATCATAAAGCCTACAAACTTGAAATTTGGCACATATCTTCCTCTTGGCTTCTAGGGGCTCCCTAAGAAAGGATTTTTTGAAACAACCATCAGAGCATTCATATTTTGTTATATTATTATTATTAACACTCTCTAAGGAGTTCTACTCCCCCTCCCCACCCGAAAAAAAACATGTTTCAAGTGCAAAACACAAGCAAAGGAGGAGTTTGAGTTTCAGAGCACCAAGTAGCATTAGTACAGAACAGTTGAACTAAGCCACGCCCAGGCTCCTTGCTGTTTACCTCTTGCTCACACAGCAAATACTGTTTCAGTTTCCAAACAGCCCTCCACTCCCTCACACACTGACAGGATTCTAGCCAGATGAATACTGACGGATGCTGGTAGGCAGAGGCAGATTCCCCGCCCCCCGCCGCATTTTCCTCCCCAAAAACTAAGCCGGACGACATAATTTTGTAGTGAAACACAGGTATTGAAGTAGTCTGTTATAAAACCCCCTCAATGCTTGGATGGAGGAACGTCAACTTTTCACCCAACATTGATTACTTAGACAAGTTCTTGGCCTACCATCGAAACTCAGTGTGGTAAAGGTAGCCCTTGACTTACGACCACAATTGAGCTCCAAATTTCTGTTGCTAAGTGAGACACTCGTTAAGTGAGGTTTGCCCTGCTTTCTGACCACCGTTGATAAGTTAGTAACACAACTGCTCAGTGAATTTGGCTTCTTTATTGACTTGGGTGTTCTGACCCAAACCTTGTTCCAAGGAAACAAACACCAAACCGAGGTAACAGCAAAACCTTTTAATGATTCTTTATGAATTCCGTTCCTTCACGGAACGAGCCTTGCCAAGGTTGTGCAGGGCTGCCAAGAACATTAGATAAAGTTGCCAAGAACTATTTCAAATACAAAGAGTCTCCAAACACAAACTAAAAGAGTCTGAACGTCCACAAGACCTGAGTGCAAAAACTTCTTTGCTTCCAGCAAAGAACTCCGGTTTCTCAGCTGGTTTTTATCCCTTAAGGGAGGGGCCATCACCTTGCAGCCTTACTCCTGAGTCACCCGTGCTGTTGCAGCTGCTCTTTCCTTTGAGCAGCCCTGCGCACACGCGCACTGGGCCGAGGCTCCTCGGGGTGCTCTTCCTCACTGCTGCCAGCCTCCACCATCTCCGAAGGCAGCACTCCACTCCCTGATGGTCCTGGCCCCATCCCTGCCTCCCACGCAGGCCCCTCATCCGAGTCCTCACACTCTGAGACCTCAGCCGCCCGCACCTGCTGCCGGCGAACCACAACGCTTGACTTGTCAGGAGGTTGCAAAAGGGGATCACGTGGCTCCTGGAACCCTGCGACCGTCATAAATATGAACCAGTTGCCAAGCATCCAGGATGCTGCAATGGTCATAAGTCACTTTTTTTCTCAGTGCTATTGTAACTTTGAATTGTCACTAAATGAAGTGTCGTTTAAGTTCTGCCGGTAAGTTTCCTGCTGGAAGCTTGGTTGTTATGTCTCACCTGTGCCAACGAGGTGAGAAGTCCAAATTTCCAAAGGAATATAAACAAGCAAACAAGTCCAGTAATGACAGGGTTAAATTCCTTGAGCCGGGAAAGTCCTTGGCAGACTCACACAAGCTGTCTGCCAAGTCCGATAATAAAGCAAGAACATAAATCACAAGCTATCGCCACACACAGAATCTTTCGAAGCTTCTCTCACAAATTAACATGTTGTCCCGAACAAGTTCTCAGAGCGAACACACCCACTTTTATTCTCTGTGGGGCGTGTCAGTCCCTCATCTCAGTCTCTGATTCGTCCTTTCTTTCTATGTTGCAACTTACACTTTTGCCTGCGCCATTGCCTCGCATCAAGCCAGCATTCCTCAGCTTGATCCTCAGTCAGAGGCTCTGATACGCTCTCCTGATTATCTGCCGGCACCTGAGGCACAATCAGGGAGGAAGGTCCTGGGGAGGAAGGCAATTCCAAATCCTCTAACAAAGCAGGCTCAAACCTCAGAGCCAAATCCTCCTCTTCCTCATTGTCCAAGTCCTCGACCTCTGACAAAGCAGGCTCAAACCTCTGAGCCACAACACTTGGTGGTCTTCAACATATTTTACAGAGGTCCAGGGCAAAGGGGGTTCAAAAGATTAGGGGCCAAGGAATGTGGAAGGAGTGGTGGAGGAGAGACAAAAACACGCACAAGGCCATTTTCCAAGCTGGTGGACCGGGCCCTTGCCCCCCAAAAGAATCCTTAACGCAACGATCCCACTCAGGCAGAGAGCGTCCCAGATCCACGTTGCTTGTTTTGATGTAGACCTCAAAACCCACTTCTTATCTACTTAAGACTTCTCCCTGCCCTAGTTTCTATCCGAGTGTTGCTAGGCTGTCAGGCGTCTCCACCGTTGAGATCACAACCCGGTATTTTTAGCACGGCTTACACCGACCCTCACGTGGCTTGGTGAGGAAGCTGGGCTGGCTGGGGAGAGAGACAGGTTCTGCAGGTGGAGGATGTACTTTGAGAAGATCAGACAAGGAACAAGGGATGGAAATGGATCAAGGAGAGAAATAAGGAGGGATTTTCTGACAGGGAGAACCATCAACCCATGGAACAGAAGTTGCCTTTGGAAGTTGTGGGAGCTTCATCCCTGGAGGCTTCCAAGAAGAAACAGGACTGCCATTTGTTAGGAATGGTGTAGGGTCTCCTGCCTGGGTGGGGAGGGGGTTGGACTAGATGACCTACAAGGTCCCTTCCAACTCTACTCTGATTGATTCAACCTAGAAGTAAGGAGGAATTTCCTGACAGAGAGAGCAACCAACCAATGGAACCGAAGTTGCCTTCGGAAGTTGTGGGAGCTTCATCCCTGGAGGCTTTCAAGAAGAGGCTGGATTGCTGTCTGTCAGAAATTGGCATGGGGTCTCCTGCTTGGGTGCTTGGGGGGATGGGGGATTAGATCAGGGCTCTCCAACCTTAGCAACTTTTAAGATGTGTGGACTTCAAATTCTGGGAGTTGAAGTCCACACGTCTTAAAAGTTGCCAAGGTTGGAGAGCCCTGGACTAGATGACCTCCGAGGTACCTTCCGACTCCATCGAAAGGTATCTAGCCGAGGAGGGGTTCTTGGCACAGAACTGGGATGACTCCAGGGGTCGGTAGTGATGTGAACTGGCAAAATTGCCTCTCCAAGTTGCTAACTTTCTTCCTGGTCTCCTTTCCTTAGTTCGGACTTTCCAACTTCTACAGCGGAGTTTCACAACCTCTTTCAGGTTGGCGCCACCGGATCGAGGGGTGTGTGTGTGTAGGCAGCAAAGAGGGGATGGGTTTTTTTTTGCAGTGGCAGGGGGAGGCAAGCACCTGTCACTCACCAGAGTGGGGCCACAAATAGGACCACAGGTTGGGGAATCCCTGATCTGCAGCAGGCAAAGGTACAATTGTATTACCTTTGTGGCTTTCAGTGGTAGATGAATTCTGTTTATAAGTATTGATACTTCTCTAGGGCCAGGATGGTGCATTTGGTAGGATTTAGCTTTTACAATAATCCTCAATTTCCAACAGTTCATTTAGCGACCGTTCAAAGTTACTGTCAACCCATAAAAATATTTCTACGGTCTTTTTAAAGTTGCCAACAGAAAGGGAGGGGGGAGCAGTGAGGCAGCTTGCAAACTGAAAGTGCATTCCATAAATGTTTTCAAAGATAGTAACTAGGCGACTGAAGTTTCTGCTGTGCAAAATTCTAACTGGAGAGCATGACTCTGGGCTAGGGAGGTGTCCCATTGGAGAATATGAATTATGATACACCCAGAGGTGTGGGGGGAAAACCAGGGTCAAGGGTGACAATGAATGATGTGTCTTAGTCAGCTACACCCAGGCAGTGCTGGCATGTTAACTCCCAATAAATCCTTTTGAAGTTTTGGAAGTTTGGCTTGAGACTCATGATTCAAATGGGGAGAACTGCCGCAATCCTAACATTAGCTTTACAATAATCCTCAATTTGCAACAGGTCATTTCGTGACCGTTCAAAGTTACGAAGTTGCTGAAAAAAAAGTGACTTATGACTGTATCCAGATGCTCGGTAGTCAGTTCGTATTTGCGACGGTCGCCATGTCCCGGGAGTCCCGTGATCCCCTTTTGTTACCTTCTAACAAGCCAACGGGGAAGCTTGATTCACTTAACAACCGGGTTACTTGCTTAACGACTGCAGTAATTCACTTGAGAACTGTGGCGAGAAAGGTGGCCAAATGGGGCGACGTTCGCTTGGACAACAGCTTTGTCGCTTAGCAGTGGAAATTTAGGTGTGCAATGGCGGCCGTACGCCTGTATCTATTTACTGACTTTATTTGCTATCCATCTTGTAACAAAATGACTCTTGGATACTTCTGTCTTACAAGGGAAACTTGTGGAAAACTCCTGTGTTGGTTTATCGGGGGAGGCACATGGGACCTCCCCTCCAGGGGTGGACTTCAAAAATATCAGCAACTGGTTCTCTGCCTGGTTGCGGGGTGGGTGTGGCCATGGTGGGTGTGGCCTAGTCGGCCTCCTGCACTACTGGGGGGGATCATTTTCGCCTTCCCCAGACTCCGGAGGCTTATCTCGAGCCTCTGGGAGGGCGAAAACGGCCTGTTTCCTGCCTTCCAGAGCCTTGGGGATGCCCGTTTAGTTTACTTTATTGTCATCGCACATCGTACAACGAAATTAAATACCATCTGCAGTGTACTACACAGTAGAATTCAATAGTTACTGCCCTGGGGTGGAAGCTGTTTTCAGCCTATTTGTCCTTGTTTGTATTATTATTATTATCCTGTACCGTCTGCAAGATGGTAATAGTTCAAAAAAAAGGGGGTGCCCCTTTGATGAGATGGATCTTTGAGGATGTTTTGAACTTTCTTAAGGCAGCAGAAGCTATAAAGCTCTTCCAAAGAGGGGAGAAGGCAACCAGTGATCCTCTGGGCAATGATGTTCACCCTCTGGAGCGCCGTCCTATCTGCCCCTGTGCAATTGGCAAACCGTACAGAGGTGCAGTAAGTTAAGATATTCTCTATGGTGCAGCGGCAGAAGGTCACCAGCAGTTTTTCATTCAGTTGTTCCCTGAAAAGTCTCAAGTAGTATAATCTCTGCTGGGCCCTTTTGACCAGGGCTGCAATGTGATCCCCCCCAAGTCAGGTCCTCTTTTAGGGTAACCCCCAGAAACTTAAAACTGGCCACTTGCTCCCCTCGGTCTCCCTGGATAAGCAAGGGCTGGAGGTCTGATCTGTTCCTTCTATTATAGTCCACTATCAGCTCCTTGGTCTTATTGGTGTTGAGGACCAAGTTATTGTCTCCACACCACGAAAGCAACCGGTCCACCTAATCTCAGTAAGCAGACTCATCCCCCCTAGAGATGAGTCCCACCACTGTTGTATCCTCTGCAAATTTAGTAATATTATTACTTGTGTGAGTGGGAATGCAGTCATGCACCTAAAGACAGGTGGTATTCAGCAGGTTCTGACCAGTTCTGGAGAACCGGTAGTGGAAATTTTGAGTAGTTCGGAGAACCGGCAAATCCCGCCTCTGACTGGCCCCGCCCCCATTTATTCTCTGCCTCCCGAGTCCCAGCTAACCCGCTGGGTCTTCTTTTGTTGCCCTGCACAGGAGAACGGAGCTGGAAAGCAGGTTAGTGGGGTGGGGAGGGAAGGGGGATTTTGCAGTATATCCTTCCCTTGCCACACCCACCAAGCCACGCCCACAGAACCGGTAATAAACACGTTTGAATCCCACCACTGCTCCACACCATGAAAGCAACTGGTCCATCGCATCTCGGTAGACAGTTTCATCTCCCCTGGAGGTTTTTGGGTGGGCCCTGCTCTTAATCTGGCATCCAAACGGGCCACGTGGGGACTTCTGGGAGGGTTGGGGTAAGTGGGGCCAGCCAGGGGTGGGATTTGCCGGTTCACCGAACCAGCCAACTGCTAGCAGCCCATCCCTCCCCTTGATCCCCGCTTCAAGGACAAAACTGAGCGGCATTTATCCAGGCTCATCTTCTCTTTCTTGATTTCTCCGACAGAGAGGAAGCCTCCCAGGCTCCGCCTTTCCCTTCCCCTTGGTCGAAGTGGCAGTGCCGGTCGTCTGCAGCTGCCTGTTCCTTCTCATCATCATCCTCGTCCTGATGATTCTCACCGCCAGGAAGAGGCGCCAATCCGAGGGAACCTACAGCCCGAGCCAGCAGGAAGTGGCCGGAGCTCGCCTGGAGATGGACAGCGTCCTCAAAGTCCCACCAGAAGAACGTTTGATATGAGCATCGAGGGGAATTCATAAAGTTGGCTCTTGGGAGTTGGCTGTTGGGCAGAGTAGATCTTCTCCGCTCTCTGCAAAAGACAAGGACGGCAGGGAAGCGGCACGCCCATCGAGTGGCAGCCCACCTGTGCATCTGGGACCTTTGAGAACCTATCCACCTGCCTTGTGGGTTCCTCTCTGACGGTGGCAGCAACTGGCCTCTCATCCTACCACCTCTGTCCACTCCCATGCCTCGGAAGTGCTGTTCCCAACCCAACAAGCTGCCTTGGCCTCTTGCTGTGAGAAAGACGATAGCCCACAGATTTCTGAGCATCGACCAACCTACAGGAGAAGCACCATGGGAGCCCTGCCTCTCGGTGTGGTTTAAGGGTGACTCTCTTTGTGACGGCCTCCAGGGTGGACTACAAAGTGGTCATGTTGGGTTGGATGATTATGACGTTCTCACTGGCTCTACTTGTTTAAGAGGGTTGTGACGGCTCTAGTTTTTGGCATGGGAGGAAGGATTCAGAGGCCTTGTTCCTAGAGGCAGGGATAGGACTTACTAAAGTATCAGGGCTGGCTAAAAAACTAGAAGCACGACAAAGACACAACAGCTGGGCAAATGCACCTCCTCGCTTTTGACATTTGAAGCCTGTTGTTAAGACGGGTGCATTGCCTACAAGACTGCTCTAGGGGGACCTTGTTAATGGCGCTCCCTTATAAATGACCAAGTTATGGATGAGGCTCACAAGGAAAGCTTCAAATGCTGTTCCAAGCAGTCAAGGACATCTTGAGCTATCCTGGTGATCAGCCTGGGACCACATCAGCAGCTCCATGCTTCTTGGAGCAGTTGGAACTACTGAGCTGCTCCTCATCCCTTCAGACATCTCAGGTGTCTGGCCACAAAGAGATGGACTACTGGGCGATGCCACCAGGAGACCATAGGGTGTATGAGCTGAGATGCTGAAGGTCCACACTGCCTCTGCTGAGCTGAATGCCAGTTGATAGAGACGAGTTAGGTCCGAAAATCTCTGCCAATGTCTTCTGGACCCTTCCCGCAGCCATGCCGGTTGGCCACAAGGTCAGAACATTCATCGGTCCTGTAGAAGAGGAGACGGCAACCTTAAACACTCAAAAGAATCACACAAAGGTCCTAACCGGAAGTCCCCCATTCGATTCTGGAGCCGACTGGAAGTCCGTTTCCCCCACAGTCTCCTCTTAGTACGGCGTCACCACAGAACAGGGCTGAAAGAGCCGCATGCGGCTCCAGAGCCACAGGTTGCCAATCCCTGTGTGTAGGACTGTGGTGTTGCAAAACAACCCGCCATGGTTGAATGTAAACTAGCTGAGAGCATACGAAGGAAAAAGCACCCAGGACTCGGTGAAGTGTATTGTTTTGTGAAAAACTGAGCAGCTCATACTTGGGAAACCAACACAAACTGCACACCGATCATTAGTCGCACAGCAACTGCGAGACACAAGAGGGTGAACAACAAAAACTGCTTGACCCCAAGAACACACCGCAAAAAGTCCAAAATGAACAAAGAACAAAAACATTTATCTTATCATTATCCCTGTTGGAAGAGAGTCAAGTACCTACAATTTCTGTGACCCCTCCCTTTAAGCGTTCAGTACAATACACCATCCTAAAGTGCCTTGTAAAGAAATCACTTGAAACAGCATTAAACTTCACTTCACCCGTCAGTTATAATGTTCGATACACGTAGAAACGATTCCATTCCAAGAACACTCCTTAAGAGCCACCTTCTCCCAGGGAAAGTTCAGCTTTCTACGCTAAAACGTAGCAGGTAGAAGTTTAATTCTTGCTAAAAAAAAGATTTCTGCTGTTTTAGAGTAGGCTGATATATTTAGCTCTCCTTCTTTCTTCCTTGATGCATCCACAGGACGTCCAAGGAGCTATGGACAGATGTGGTGGCAACTCTGCCCTCTCTTCTTCTCGTCCTCCAAGAAGCAACTCTGGGTTGGAGAAAATACACCTCATCCTGTACAGTGAACCAGACACTTGAATGTGTGACCAACTGTGGTTTGCAACCATTGGCACTTGAGAGCCATGATTACGAAGAACAGTGAGAAATGTTTTCAGAAACACTTCACACACCCCAAAATTTAAACCTGGCTTTGTCAGGGGAGGTGTGAATTCCTACACAGGGCTGCAAAAGGAGAAAGCTGTTGGGTTCCTCCTTACAGATTTGTTACAGAATAAAGAGTGTGGGAAGGGACCTTGTCGGTCATCTAGTCCAACCCCTCCCGTCCAAGCAGGAGACCCTACACCGTTTCTGAGAGATGGCAGTCCAATCTCTTCTTGAAAGCTTCCAGGGATGAAGCTGCCACAACTTCCGAAGGCAACTTGCAGAAAAGGTGAAAAAAATAAAAATAAGAATCAGGACATCTATTTGTGGAAATGAACACCAGATACTTTTTGCCCATCTCCTGCCCCAAGGTAGCAGATTTTTCTCAGCACATCGGAAGATCTGAGAGACGTGTCTATCTATCCAACCTTTTTTTTTTTCTCGTTCCCTCTGGAAACCCAAAGAGAGACGGTCAAATTCTGGCCAGGGACAACAAGGCCCTGCAAAGTTCTCCTGAGGAAAATCTTAAGGACAAACCTCCATCCCAGAATAAATATCTAACAGATGAACAGAGTTGGAAGGGACCTTGTAGGTCATCTAGTCCAACCTCCCACCCAACGAGGAGGCCCTACACCATTTTTGACAAATAGCAGTCCAGTCTCTTCTTGAAAGTCTCAAGTGATGGCGCTTCCACAACTTCTGAAGGCAACTTCTGTTCCATGGGTTGGTTGTTCTCCCTGTCAGGAAATTCCTCCTTATTTCCAGGTTGAATCTCTCCTTGTTCAGTTTCCATCCATTATTCCTTGTCTGGCCTTCAGGTGCTTTAGAAAGTAGCTTGACCCCTTCTTACGCTACACTGATGTAGTGTTGTGAGACATGGTTGGGAAGTCAAAAGGAAATTGTTTCCTCAAGAGGATGATGTGGTACCTCAACCCATATCTCAAGACATAGATGTACTTCCTTCCCTGAGTGTTAGCCGTAGTAATTACAATTCATCAAGAAAAAAACATAGCAACTATAGGAAGTACCAGCTTTTAGATGTTCCCTCAAACTGATCTCTTCTCACCAGCCCACAAACGATTCCCTCTGTATGGTGAGCACAGGAGGGAAGGAATTTATCTTTCTTCTCCCAAAGACAGGTCAAGACCGAACAAAGAAAAGTTAGGCCAACTTGTTGACCTTCTATCTTGCAAAGTTCTTGGTTCATTATTCCAGTATTTCTCCTTGAAGACCTCCAAGGTGACCATTGAGAAGGTGATTATCTCACGGTCTGGGTAAACGCAGACTAAGAAGCCTAACCAGGTCATGCCTCCCCTAACTTTGAGGAAGAACAATCCTTCCCCAATTGCCAGCCAGCTAATGCATCGGCAAAAGTAGCTTGGCCAACTTTCTTTGAAACCCCGTCGATGGAAAATTGATGGCAAGGAAGCAAACTCAGCCAAACATCTTTGACTGGGGGAATCTTCCAGCCTTCCTTAGTGATGACCAAACCCTTCCAAAAGAGATCCATCTAGGGCTACAAATTTCAAGGCATCGAGACTTGTTGCAAATGTAGATGTGGGTCTGAGTCAGTCAGAATAGAGCTGGAAGGGACCTTGGAGGTCTTCTAGTCCAGCCCCCTGCTTCTGCGGCTTTGGAAAATATTTTTGAGTCTTCAGTTTTAGTCTTAGCGTTGACTTGACTCGCTCATCTGGACCCACAACTTCTGAAGGCAAGCTGTTCCGCTGGTTAACTGTGGAAACACTTGTGGGTCTGAGTCAGTCAGAATAGAGCTGGAAGGGACCTTGGAGGTCTTCTAGTCCAACCCCCTGCTTAAGCAGGAGATCCTAATCCATTTCAGACAAGGGGCTGTCCGGTCTCTTCTTAAAAACCTCCAGTGATGGAGTGACCACAACTTCTGGTGGCAAGCAGTTCCACTGGTTAATTGTCCTCCCTGTTAGGAAGTTTCTCCTCAATTCCAAGTTGCTTCTCTCCTTGATTAGTTTCCATCCATTGTTTCTTGTTCTCTCTTCTGGTGCTTTGGAGGATAAGTTTGAGTCTCCTGTTTTAGACTTAGTTTTAGCATCACTTGACTCGCTCATCTGGACCACGCGAGGCGCAGATACCTTGCATTAGACTTACTCTGAGGATTAGTCATAATGCCAAAGGGGTTCCATTTCATTCCCTGTCACACCACACAAAATGTCCGCCCTCCTTCTCAGAAAAAGTAGCCTCTACTTGCTCGAAGCCCCCTTAGATCCATCCCAAAGACGGGAAACTTTTCTGCCATTTAATTTATTTTTTGTTTTCTAAGGTGAACTTTTTTGATATTTAAATTCGGGGTTTATTTTTTCACAGAACTTTTTTGCCACAGACGGAGCCTCTGTGGACGCAAATGTTAAGAAACCCAATCCTGGTAATTCCTGTAATTGTAATTAAAAATGTATACAGAAACTTTATCTGGGTTCTTTTCAATTCAAAGCAGGTCCAGCTGATAAAATTTCTGAGGGACATCAACTGTCCAAGAGGCCCAAATGGAAGGTGGGCCAAAACTGCCTCATGAAAAAGGAGAAGGGGACTTATCAGAATACAGGTAGTCCTTGACTTATGACCAAAACTGAGGCCCAAATCTCTGTTGCTAAGTGAGACATCCGTTAAATGAATTTTGCCCATTTCCTGGCTTTTCTTGCCACCGTTATTAAGTGAATCGCTAAATTTGTTAAGCGAATAACCCAGTTGTTAAGGAAATCTGGCTTCCCCATCGCTGGTCAGAAGGTTGCAAAATGAGACCACCTGATCCCGGGATTCTATGACCGTCATAAATGTGAGAAACATCTGAATTATGATCACGCAGTGGTCATAAGTGTGAGAAACAGTCATAAGTCAAATGACTATGGAGATTCTCAGTCCTCCAGGCCATGGTTGCTTCACTTCTCATCCGAGAAGCTTCTTC